AACCTTCCCGGCCGCTTACCCACGCGTCCTTACAGAAACCGCTCCCTTTATGGCCCAACGCCTCAAAGACAGACTTCCAGTCCAGTCCTAATCCTACATCCTATCTCATTTTACCTGCGTCCGTGGTGCGAGGTACGTGAGACAAACAACCAGGCGTCTGTCTAAAAGCATGGCGGAGCACTGCCCAGCGGCTTAGCGGAAAAGCATCGTCTGTCACACCAACAATTTCATCCCGGAACATCTGATGGAAAGCGGCCGCCAAATTAGGACTTCTGATGCCTTTAAACTACTTTATGTAGTACCGAAACGGTACCCTAAAGGCCTTAGGAAGCAAATCTTAAGGACGGTTGGATCAATCGCGATCAGGATAACAGAACCGGAACTGTGCAAACAGAAGACTTTGATACAAGGGGTTCTTCTAACTTGGCCCTAATTAGCTTGCCAATTGCCATCACTTCGTGCGCCGGCAGCGAACGGATGATGCGCTAGGCATTCCATCGATCAACTAACACATGCTGTCACATGAGAGGATAGCCGATTTTATAGACCAAGACGTTTGCGTTTCTGACACTCGTGATTCCACTATTCCCCTTTTTTCTTTCATCAGCTCGTTGTGTTCTGACATTCCATTTTATAATTGTAAATGTCTATGGAGATTTGTCGAAAAAAGTACTCTTCGCAAACTTTTGTTCTTGCATGTTCCAAAATGTCCTAAATTACTTTTGTGATGAAGGCAAAGACCCATCCATAAGGCTGTCCTTTAGCCAAATTCTTGACCTCTTCATTGTGTTCTATACTGCTCGGTCCGAGTCCGTAACCCAAAAAACTGTTTCTTCTCATCATCGATTCCCAAGAAAAGAGCGTCAGAATACGGCGGGCGGAAGCAAAAATACGAGGGCAGCTCGGAGAAAAGGATCTCGCGAATTAGCCGTAATCGGGACATGAATGTGACGCTGAGCGAGAAGTCAATATGTAGTGCATTGTGGTATGGAAGTGTCCCCCATGCATGCGCATGCGTGCGCTAGCCGGGTAACCCCGTTGTTCGTTTGCATTGAAGACTGTGCGTCCCTGCCACCTCGTACTCGCTACGGATCAGGTCAGCTTCCAAGATCGATACAGGCTTCCGCCTAACGAGCATCCTGTTTCTTGCACCGGTAAGCGAACCAGAGCCCCCGGTACTACAACGTCTGATTAACTTCCGCGGCTTCTGCAAAGGATTGAAGCAAATCAAAAGCACGCCGGGTACTGTCATGCAGTACGAGGTTACAGCGACATGGCGCAATAAAATTACAACAATTCCTTAATAAGTCAGACTAACACCTATCTAGTCCTCTATTGATGGCCTCTACGATGCTGCATTCTATTAGCGATAACAAGTAGCTTATTCCCGCTATTGACTACATGATTCACAAAGAATTTTTCCCTGTTCTCCAGCCTAGATCGCTGATGCTTAAGCTTCAGTTGGTGTTCTCGCAGTTGATCTGACCTGGCTGGCTCAAACAGTTCAGTATGCTGGATACCAGGACAGTATCCAGGGACGAAATAAGCGTTCGCTTAACCAGCGTCCCGTTTCATGTGTCAATAAGCGAGAAGAGCTCACAGCACTTCGACGTGATAATAGCTTCTTGCGTTTACACCAGAAAAAGAAAGAAGCGAAGGAAAAGCAAGCAGTAAGAGCAAAAATATCACCACCTTTTCGTGTATTTGCATAGCCTACTTGCATGTGATTGGATGCTGAAATGAGTATTCACAAGAATTCGGGGAACAGGGCCAACCACATTTCTTCCGGATCTCGTTTGAAGTCCTCTACTTTTTACATTGCAGAGGAACTTTATTCCAACTAGACACTATACGATTTGAGAAGCATTTAGCTCTTATATCGACCCTAGGCCTCTGCTGTTTCAACTTTGGACTTTGTCCCCGCAAATGGCTTGACATAGCTGATTCCAAGAGCTCGGTTGGCCTGAGACCCTTTGTAATCTTGAATGTCTCTGTTAAGTCCTCTCTCAATCTGCGTCTCTTCATTGAGTACAATCTTAAGTTAGCTTACCGAACTTCATACGGTAATTCCCGCTGGCCTTCTATCATTCGAGTGGTCTCGGTTAAGTCCCCTCTTAGTCTACACCGTTCCGTTGAATACAGACCTAAGTTCCTTAGGCGTTCAGCGTATGGCTTGTCACCTAAGCCCTCAATCATTCTTGCCGTCAGTTTTTGTATCTTTTCTTTACAGGCAACATCTTTCCAGTGGTATGGTATCCAAGTCTGTCCACTGTATTCTAGACGAGGTCTTACCACCGCTTTGTATAAGGGAAGTAATACCTCAGCTCTAGTGATGCATATAGATCTTTTGAAGCGAAACAACTCATTCGGAGCTTTGATGGCAGTATGCTTACATTGCGCTGAATGTTTGAAATCGTTCGCCACAATAATGCCCAACTCTCGTGCTTCATTTCCACACCGTGGATCTAGAGGCCCGACAGACGTTGGCACCGTAATCCCGTCATTTCGAGAAGTCAGCAACGTGTTTAAAGGCAGATCCCATTTAACCGATCAATTTACTACAGTCCGAAAATCCTTTGACAGCATGTCTCTGCTGACGATCTTCAGATCATCAGCAAAATGGTAACAGGGGTAATGAAGAAGAGGAGGTAAGTCGTTGATAAACAAGAGGAACAATAATGGCCCAAAAGCGAAACCTTGGGGAACGCCGCTGTGAGCAATGCCGATGCTTGATCTAGCTTCGCCGACCCTAATGCGAAAGGTTTTACCTCAAAGAAGCTGCAATCCAAGTCAAGAGTTGAGGATGCAGCCCAAACCATTCCGCTTTCGTAAGTAACAATCGGTGGTTAACGGAGCCGAAAACCTTGCTAAAGTCGAGGTAACATACTGCAACTGAGATTCCATCATCAAGATAGCTAGTTATTTCATCTGAGAAGCACGAAAGATTAGTAAGGCAAGATTTCTTCTTAACAAAACCATGCTACTCATCTCCAATTCAGTTGTGATTAACTAAGTGCTCTGAAATTCTTTTTCAAATAAGCTTTCCCAAGCATTTGAGCAAAACACTGGTATTAATTACCGGCTTGTAGTAGACTGGTATGGTTTTGGAACCTCCTTTATGTATGCTACAACGGTTGCCTCCTTCCAATCCTGTGGTTGCCTACCTTCACGTAATGACATATTGAACATCTCCAAGACAGGATATTGGAGTATGTCATCCAGCGGTTTGACAATGGCAGGATGCACGTCGTCAGATCCAGCCAACTTATGTGAGGCTAAGCCAGTCAGTACCCCCGAAGACCGCTGAACCTAAACGGTGTGTCCAGCATTGTACTATTATTTTGACAAAATGAACTTTAAGGTTATAGATGGCCCATCATCCGTACGATACACATTTTTGAAAGACGTACAGAAGCACCTCTGCTTTTGGCTATAGCCTCTGTGGCCTGACTATCGTCATCGGCCAATAAATTACCAACTCCCTGCCTTAAAAAGGGCTTGGATTGAACATAACTATAATACATCTTCGGTTTTGCTTTTACACTTTGGATCAGTTTGACTTCATAGCATTACTGCGCTTTTCGCTGCATCTTTATTGCTGCATTGCGACATTTCTTGTACTGCAACCAACGGGTAAATCCACCTGATTCTTGAAACTTCTTCCGAGAAACGTTGTGCCTCTTTATCCCACGATCGATTCTGCGGAGCCACCATCTAGGTTTGTTGGTGTGTTCCCTGGGGCGCAGCGGGGCGAACTCATCCAGTAGCTGAACAAGCCCGCTCTTGACTACGCCTGATCGAATTCAGGAACCCAATTGAGCAGCAGTGCTCTAGTCCGTAACATATTTAGCTCGATGCGACCAAGGTTCCTCACAAGTCGGTGTTTTTCTGGGAGCCTTTTAGTATTTAAAGAAAATCGAATGACACAGTGGTCACTCTTACCTATGGATGTTACAGCTTGCACATTTGACAAGTGGCCATATTTGAACAGTACAATATATAGTGTTGAAGGAGCGCATCAAAGACGCTTTCTTGTCGGAAATTTGACATACTGGAAGAAGGCATTTTCTTGCACCCATTTTACAATTTTCGTCTTTGGCGTTTCCATCGTGTTGGAAGCATGCTCCCTATCTGCGTGTGGGAGGTTCAAATCCCCAGTGATCACAATCTTTGGTGCAGTAACTGCTGCCCGTTTGACTATGCTGTGTTAAGTGTCACGCTGTTTTTGCACTGGTGCGGAGAATTCGTTCAACCCTCCTTACCTCTAGCAAACTGTTTCCGTTAATTCTGCTGTTTTCATTCATTGTCAATACTCCCTATGCTTTTCACAGTGGAAGTCGCTGGCTTACGCCAGATGCCACCACTCTCTATCTTAAAAGTATACCTGTGGTCGCAACCTTGCACCTTGTGAATGCCTGTAAAGGGAATATTGCAGTGTCTAAGTCTGGTCTCACGTACGGCTTAATTCCCAAGACCAAACGTGCAAAATTCGCTGTAACGGAAATTGTAAACGAGATTCTACGACATTAAATTTAGAGATACATAGATGACTTACGACTAGGTTTGTAAACGTAGCCTCGATGTTGCTCAGCAGTGAGCCAAAACAATCCTAGCAGTCTGTATTCTCGGTCAGCGGCGGACTGGAGCAGATGTGCATTTGAGGCAGTGGTGAGACAAACAGCAGCGGTGTAGTGCGTGGTAATGAGGCTCTAGGGCGGTGCTTCGGTTAACCGCGGTAATGCGAACACACAAATGTTGCGGTCGTACTTTATAATCCACGTGGTTATACACAAAATTTCATAGCGGAGAAATAATGCAGTATATACAAATGCTGATGAGTAGAAAAAGGATAAAAATTGTGCATTTGTGCTTCACACTCCCAACCAGAGGAATACGCGTTTCCGTTTAGTCCTGAAACGGCGAGATGGTCGTTTGATACGTTCCTTGATGTCTGGTTGTTACTTCTACTGAACTCTTTAAAATTGTCCACTTTGTTTCAGCCTACGAAGGAATGCCCACGCTGACTTTGAGCGGACTACTGAATGCGCTAGATGGCGTCACTTCCACTGACGGACGAATCATCTTCATGACTACAAATCACTTGGACAAGTGCGTAGTTCATTCTATTTTTATTTAATTATTACTACTTGTCTGAAGTCAGACAATGCTCAGTTGAACTCTCCGTACCGCTGAGCTTCGAGTAGTCGACATTCCTGCTGTCCAGACAAGGTGTGCAAAAATAACGAGTGCATTCTTGCTTTCGATCCATTACCCCTAGTTGTTAGATCTCTCTACTAACGATTCTGCTTTTTTACTTCTTTTTTCATCAGTTTTATATTGCGGTTTTTCCCTTTTCGTTCCTCATCGTTATTAGTCATTATCATTCTCGTGCCGACGTGAGTCAGGATAACTGTCTCTATCACATTTTGGTTGTTGAAATAAGCCACATTTAGCTTCAGCTTAGTGCCCATTGAAGTATAGTACGACCGGGTGCTCTCCTGCGATGAACGGGCATCACC